CCCCACTCCCCCTCCTCACCCCTCCATCTCCCCCTCCTCACTCTCATCCCTAGTCTCCGTGCGTCGACTGAATCACTCGTCCCTTCGTACTCACCCTGGGGGACACCTTTTGATTGTGTCTTGCTTTGACTCCTCCTCCTCCAGAAACAACCCCCCCGACTCGACCGTCTGGTGGAGCGACTCAAACACGAACTTCTCAAAGTCCGTCTCAGACTCGGGCTGCGCCAGCGGCGGCTTTTTGACGTCGGTTTTATTCTGCACGTCACCGAGAGGCTTTTTCACCTCAGCTTCCACCTGAGTGACGGGCAGTTTTGGGGTAATAAAAGCTGCCACCACATTGGTGGAGGGCTTCTGGGGGGTGGAGCTCTCGCAGCAGGAGAAGGGCCACGGAGGGGGCGGGGCTACGATTAGCTCTGACCGCGGTTGGACAGGGCTGGGGACAGAAAATCTCTGGTCAGGCTTGAGTGACGGGAGGGAGCGGCGTGAAGGAGGTGATGGTGACGGGAGGCAGGCCACACGGGGGGAGGACGGGGGGGGTTACAGGTGTGAGACGCAGGTCAGAGTCCACAACACTCTGCAGCCGTTAGCACGTGTTAGCATCAACAGAAGCAGAAAGAGCAGAAAACCACAGCAGCTGAGGAGCCTTGCTCAAAGGCAGTGGACAACAGGACACGACGTCGATTTGTCTCTGAGGTAAAAAATGTAATTTCTTTTATATGGCTAGGTTAACTTTTAGCTTTTTTTCTTGACTGACTGAGTCAAAACCCAACGTCCTCTCCTGCTCCTTCCTTCCTGTCCTCACTGTAACATCAAGGTTCGTGAAACATTCACAGCTTTTTTCCCACACAGAGCCTTCGTCAGGAGCCAAGTCAAAGCTGTCGGCCTTTACACAACCACGCGTCGTCTCACCTCTTTTTTTTGGACTCGTCTTTGTCCTCTGCGATGGTGGCCATCGTGTCCACGGGGGGTTTCATTTGCTTCTTGGAAGTTCGGACCTCTTCACCTCGGCTCAGGAGGTTTGGAGCGGTTTCCTCCTCTGGACGTTCGTAGTCGACGTGTCAGGAAAGAAAAGAATTCACAGAAAAAAGATTGAGTTCAGAGAGCGGTTAAAAACAACATGTTTATAAGGATGGAATAAAAGGAGGAAGAATCAGGAGGGAGACAGGTGAAAAGTTGGACGGCCGTCGCTGTACCTGAGTGGAAGGGGTTCATGGCAGCGGGAGGAGCAGAAGGAGAGACAGTGAGCTGAGGGTGAGGGGAAGAGGAGAGAGAGGGTGAGGAGAATGGGGGAGCAGTGGGGAGAGCTGGGCCCACGGGGTCGCAGAGAGCGTCCAGATCAGGAGTCGAGAGCAGAGGGACCGGAGCGATGTCTCCTACGGCTGCACCGGGGTCCGGGGGGGTCCAGGGCCCCGGAGCACCTGAGGGAGAGCGGGGGGGCAGGAGAAACAGGAGGAAACAAGGAGAAATGGAAAAGAAAGAGTTTCAAAATAAAGGAGAAAAAGAAAAACTTGTTGGACTTTGTTTTTGCATCACCAAAAATGAAAACTACAAAATAAAAAAAGTTCACCTGAAGTGAAAATAACTTTTTTTCTTTTTTTCTATTTTTTTTTACCTGACTCAGATTTGGAAGGAGCCACAGATTTGGCCACAGCAGGGCCTAAAGCAAGAGGAGGAGCATCAGCAGCAGCAAAGGGTGAGGGAGAAGAAGGACGGGCCACGGACTTGACAATCTGAGGTTTGAAAAGGTGAGAACGAACTGCAGGATGGAAACGACACCAGAAGGAAAGAGAGAAAAAATATATAGATATATAGATATATGTGTATATTTGTTTCAATATCTGTGACTAAAAAAAGGATTTGTTTCAATATCTGTGACTAAAAAAGACAAATAGCAGACCAGCTAAGGCAGGGTCATCAACAGTTTGGGCCTCCGGAGGGCGCCGTTGATATAAAGGAGGAACTGAAGAGAGCAGGAGTCACAACAGGAGAAGAAAAGAAACAAAACAAAGTGAATTGAGTTTCTGTCTGAACAGACTGTGACATGAAATCAGTTTTGGACTAAAACTCCAGAGTTTACGTTGGTGAAGAGTCAGGATCTGAACGTCTGCCGCGGTGATACCTTTGGCTGAGCCTGGCTGGAAGATTCTGGGCAGAGACGGAGGCTGAGAGAGGCTGCGGGTGAGTGACGGGTGAGTGGGTGACGGCTCAGAGGACAGGGTGGAGTTTGGGGGTGATGGGAGTTTAGGGGGCGGAGGCTGAGAGGTCGCAGAGGGGGGAGCAGGGGTCAGAGAGGCGAGGGGTGACACGGGTTTGGAGGTTGGAGCAGTGAGACCCCCTGCAGGGACGGGTGAGGCCTGAGTGGGTGGGTGAGGGGGGGAGTTAACAGGGGAGGGAACAGACGTGGAAATAAAGGGATTGGAGGAAACACGGGCCTGTGATAAGGAGGGAGGAGAGGGAGTGGAAAGGGATGAAGAGGAGGTGATGGTGGGGGGAGGAGCTTTGGAGGCAACCTCAGAA